GCCCAGTTTGGTTATGGCAAAAAGCATCGATTTCACGGTAAAATTTTTCGCAGATATCTGAAGCTTGTAAGACATAGCTGGAGGTTACTAGATGACGAATAGATGAAAAGATACTTCTATTTTTACCTTGCGTTTTTTTTAAACAATAATTTATGGTCACATTTTGATTTTTTGTCTATAAGTTTTTTTCGTTAAATTTTAAATAAACAATATTTATATCATTTTTTTATATCAAAAATATCTTTACTTTTCCGTTGTTTTAATTAAAATTGATAAATAATTTACAGATATTTGCAAAAAGCAGTTTTTTTGCACTAATTTATAGATTTTATTAATTTTTTATTAACAAAATAAAATGTTATTAATAGACTTCGGCAAATATGCATATTGTATATTTTGCATATTGTGCATATTTTATGCAAATATTTCATATTTTGGCATATTTGTATAAAAGTTTGCATAAAGTGCATAAAAGTTCAGATTTTTATACTGTATTTGAAAATTTTTAAACATACCAATTTATTTCAATTCTTGTATAAAATTTTGTAGTCATTTTAATCAAGAAATGATCTAAGTACGTAATCTCTACAGGTACAAAATATTTACAATTTCAAAGAAGATCAATTTAAGTAGCCCTCAACATTCTTAGAAAGTCTCGGTCACTGAGGCATTCAGTTATTGGATAATCGCTAAGGGTTCGCTCATTTGCATTTTATGATCTAATCCCCAAATCTATCTACAATTTATTGTATCTTAACAGCAGGTAAACGGCTAATAGTTTTGTTCCTAATTTAGGGATTTTCCAAAATCTCCCAGTTTATTGAATTAGGTACCTAAACATTTCTAATTTGATGCTCAGATTTGTAAATCATTTTTGTTTTGATATTCAAAGCGTAAACACTCGTTGTGCGTAACAAAAAGGAAGATTGTGATTTCATAATGCCTAAAACAACCAGTGCTTCAACTTGGATTAAACCTTATAAAGAGCTGTCTATGGATATGGGAAAAATCTACTGTTCAGTCTGTGGCAAAATTGTAAGTATCTAATATTTTCTATTAAATATCTAATATTTCATACATACAGGGTGTTTCCAAATGACACTTACAACGTTTGACTGTAGATACTTCTCGAAAAATTGAACAAAACGATATAGTTAATGAGGGGTCAAACTTATTTACTTTTCGAGATACAGGGTGTTAAAATTAAAAAAAATTAAATTCTTTTAGTTAATAACAACAATAACTTTAAAACCAATAAACGTATTTACTTGAAATTTAGTACTCGTAGGTTGTTTTTAAATGAAAAATAGCTTCCTTTAGTGAGAAAAAATTGTCCATGGTACAATACAATGGTGTGTATTTAGAAAAATGTTTCACCTTTACTTTTTTTTATGAAGTCAGCTATTCTAAAACACAATTATTTTTATTGTAATTGAATTAACAAAAAAAAAACTTTTGTTGAATTTTAAAATAAGTTATATGATGTACTAATGGTTAGTAACAAAAACTAATTTGTGGATTAATACTGCATTTAAAACACTTAGCGAGTGTTTTTTTTTCCAAACCAGTTATTTGATTAACCAAAAACACCTTGTATATTTTTATATTTTAAAGGTTGGGTTAAAATAAAGGTTTTTATTTTTATTTATAGATAGCATGTGAGAAGAAATTTCAGATAGACCAACATGTGAGAACTGCTTCACACATTGCAAAAAAAGGAAAAATAGGAGGAAAACATCAAACTTCAATGGCTAAATGTTTCCAATCTACTTCAAAAAAATTAGATGAGCAAGAAACTTTTAATGAAGACTTGTGTCGCGCATTAGTGTCTGCAAACATACCGCTTTCAAAATTAGCAAATGTAAATTTTAGTTCGTTTCTAAAAAAATATTGCAAACTTAATGTTCCAAGTGATCGGTCTCTAAGAAGAAATAATGTGAACGGGCTATACTCGTCGGTGTTAATTAATATTAAGGAAGAAATTGCAGATAATTATTTTTACATATCTGTAGACGAAACCACTGATTCCTCAGGAAAGTATATTGCTCATTTATTGATTGGTGTTCTTAAAGAAGATACTCTTACCAAAATCTCATCTTATTTCATGCCAGCAACTTGAGAAAACAAATGCTTTAACAATTTCGCGTTTTATACAAGAAACATTAGCAACTTTTTTTCTTCCGACAACTATTCCTTCTAATAAATTACTGCTTATTTTATCGGATGCTGCTCCTTATATGGTGAAAGCAGGACAAAATTTAAAAATATTTTTCCCAGATTTAATACATGTTACTTGTGTAGCGCATGGATTAAACAGAGTTGCAGAGGAAATACGAAAAAAGTTTCCTCTTGTAAATACCATGATATCCAGTGTCAAAAAAGTATTTCTTAAATCTCCTATAAGAATTCAACTTTATAAAGAAATGCTACCTAACATTCCTCTTCCACCACAACCTATTTTAACGCGATGGGGAACATGGTTAGAAGCAGCTAATTTTTATGCAGATCATTTTGTTAAAATAAAGAACATAATTGATACGTTAACAGATGAAAGTTCCCAATCTCTTTTGGATTCTAAACAAACTTTTCAGAGTAACTTGCTTCAACAAGAACTTTCATTTATAAAATCAAATTTTAGTTTTGTTCAAAAAACAATTACTCAGTTAGAATCACCAAAACTGTCATTGTTCGAAAGTACAGCATTAATAAAAGAATTTGCGTCATGTTGTCGGAACGTTAGAGGTAATATTGGAAAAGATATTTTAAAAAAATTTGAAGCTACTATGGAAAAAAATAAAGGTTACCATATTCTTTCTGAAGTAGTCAGTGTTCTAGCTGGAAATATTTCGGAAACAATTAATTTAGAACCAAATGTTTTGGTTAGTTTGAAAAATGCTCCCGTTACATCAGTTGATGTTGAACGAAGTTTTTCCATATATAAATATATGTACTCAGACAGAAGCCACAAGTTTTTGTTAGAAAATTTTGAACACCACTTGGTCATTTATTGTTACCATAATTCTAAATAAGTTTATTCATACTTAAAAATGATGTAGTTACTTAAAATAAATGTAAATCTTAATGAATAGTAGGAAATATTTAGTTATGTACACTTTTTTTTTAAATAAAATTGTTACTATTTTACGATTTTTTTATTTATTTGTATGCATATTTTGTAAAATATTTGCATATTTTCGGGTAAACACATGCATATTTATGCGCATATTTTCTACATTTTTATTTGCATATTTGCCGAAGTCTAGTTATTAATATATTAAAACATCGAGGAATTACCGTCCTTTAAATTTGTGCGAAATTTCGCCCCATCGGTCAAATAGTTTAAAAGTTATTTAATTTGTTTATACCTGAGACTAATTATTTAAAGTATTGAACTTGCCCTACGAATGATGCTAGACATATTTAGCAAATTTCATAGGATTCTTTAAGACTTCTATCTCAGAAGTTATGTAAATCCATATTGTTTTCATCGAAATTATTTACAAAATAAACGTTTGAAAAAGAGGTATGTTTTTTACTTATAAACAATTGTAATAACTTCTATATTTTTCATGCTACAGACTTGTACGTACAACCATTGGATAGCTGGTAAAAAAACTCACATTAAAAAAATAAACCTTCTATGACCAATGTAGGAACGAAGTTAGCGACTATTGTTTTAAAAATCATATCTCTAAACAAATATTTACTATATATTCTCAAAGCATTAAATAAATAATATTTGAAAAAAACATATAAGAAAGGGAAAAGTAAACAATTTTTTAATAAAAACTAAAGTTTCCTGCCTCTCGAAATTTTACGTTTTTCCTAAAAAAAAAATACATAATATTATTTTCTGTCTTTTATTATAGAATAATAAACTTACCTGTTTTCCATAACTATTACTTGACACACGACTTAAAAATGGAAAGTTTAATTTGGTTCAATAATCAAAAACAAAATCATTATCCCTACTTCGCGCCAAATCTACACATGTTGGTGATACTAAATTCACGTCCAATAAATAAGAAAAATAGAAAATGTTCTATTTCGTCAATTTCTTCACGAAGGTATTCATGAATGTATTCACGGCAAAATTGGATATCAAATTGTGCTTTACACAAGTCAAATTTGACCTTGAAGCGACTTCATGAATTTATTGTTGGTGTAAAGCCTGTATAAGAAGTAAAATTTACACAAATTTCGAATGAAAATCCAAACTTTATATTGAAACTTATAGCTATAAAATTCATCAAATTTACAGCCTTTCGAAACGAAGGTAGTTTCGAAAGATCGACATAGGAAAGTGGAGGGGAAACTGTTTTAGCTCCACTCTCCAAAATTTCGTCAGTCTCAGTGTAGTGGCTTTAGAAAGCAATATACTTATCCTTCTTTGAGTAAAATATTTTGTGTATTTTGAACAATAAAGTATCAATTGCCATTAAGCTTTTGAAATAGGTACCAATATACAAAATAAAATAATTGGTAAAAATTTTGATGACGTCACTGCAAAAAGAAAGGATAAAGTTGAAATCTGTTTTCACTAAATTTAAAAGTTACCATACATGATAGGACCATACCTATCAAAATTATCCAACGTATAAGTATCCTTAATCACCTTTCTCGCATTTCACTCACACTCTCAAGACACCTGGTCCGTTTATATAGTATATTACATTATCATCATCTTGGTGCTACAGCCCTTAGAGGGCCTCGACCTTCTCAAGCTTTCTACACCATTCTGTTCTGTCCCTTGCTTGCATTTTCCACTTGCCGACTCCGTTCTTCTCCGCATCTTGTGTTACCCCATCCATCCACCTCAGCTTTGGTCTACCACGTCTTCTCATTCCCACGGGTTGCGCAGATAGAATCTTTTTTATCATGTTCGATTCAGGGGCCCGGCTACATGTCCTACCCAGTACAGAATATTACACAATTGAATTATTAGCAAAAAGCAATTCTAAATTATTTTTAAACACTAATCGAACAGAAACACATACAGTAACAACTAAAATTTATTCAAAATGAACATATTAAACCTATCGTCTAACTACTCTTCGGGCTCCTCTAACAATTTCCTTTTTGGTGCTCTAGAATCATAATTCTCAAGTCCTGGATTTTCTTCACACAGTAAGTTATAAGCATAAAATATCCTAACAAATTCTTCATTACTTATCTGAAAAGGTCTGGTTGTGGGATCCACTTCGGCTAATTGTAAAAGTTTATTACCTAAAATAAAAAACAGTTATACAACTATTTTTGAAACTTAGTAGAAAATAATGTACAGACTAACAAGGTTCTATGTAGATTGATTGATTAGTGTGAGGAAGGTCAGTAGATCTGTTATAGTAAAAGATACAAAGAAAGCTATTTACAAAAATCATGTTACATCTTAAACATACTGTAAAATACATCTTAGTTGTTCTTTTCTTACATAGTGGGATTCTTTTGCTGGAATACAGTTTATATGCGCACAAATGGAATCTTTCAGCCTTTCCTTAGAATTTTACCAAGTGATTCAAAATTTGCACTTACAATGAGGTTATTTTGTTAAATAACTATATTTACATAAGATATGATAATAGTAATTAGACCAAAATAAAAGTTATCCCTTATAGATGTTATTTAATCCATATTTGAAAAACATTGTATGTAGAGTTACAGTGTTATGCATATCAGGTATCGATATTCTCCATCAAAATGTCAAAAATGAAAAAATGACTTAACACATTTTTTTTTTGTTTAATCTGATTCCTATCTGATTACCCTTTGTGAGATCTAGGATCCCATGAGCAATGATCATTACAATAATTATCAATTATTGAGTTTATGATATGAAACGATAATAATATCAATTAAATTAAAATGTCTACCCACCCAATTCGTTCCTTCTGTCTTCAGGAAATAACCTCTCTGCACCTCTGATGCAATACTTTTGTCTCATATTAAATATATTTCTGAGCACTTTCTCGACCAGTTTAAAAGGAAGTTTCACCAAAGGATATTTTAAAGGCACGAGAGTCATAACAGCGACATCAACATCAGGTTTAGGTACAAAGGCTCTACCAGGGATGGTAAATTTATACTGAACATCACACCACATCTGACATATAACAGACAGACGACATCTCTGTTTGTCCATTATGGGAGCTACCATTCTTTCTCCCACTTCTTTTTGAAATGTTAGGGTCATTGATGACCTACCATAGTGCCAAGCTGATGTTTTTTCTGACACTGACTGTAAGTATCGAATAATTAAGTTCGTAGAAACACTAAAAGGGAGGTTCCCTGCAATAAATGAACTATTGATTAACAAGTTTCCTATGATAAAGTTTACTTAAAGAGGCAATGAATGAAACAAAATTAACAGGTATAATATAAAAGTGTTATATGTAATTGAAGTAGAAGATATTTGTCATGAAATTCATCCCGAGTTTGCAGAGAAGCAAAGTTAATGCAGTGTCTTAGGTCTGGTATCATATGACTAACCAAAAATATTTATAAATAATAGAAAGAGAGATATTCAGAAAATATCATCAAAAGTAATGACAATAATGATTTAAAAAAACATTGGATGAATGATGGAGAAGATGACTAAAAAAGAAAAATGATTAACCTCAAATGCAACTAAGCAGTAGGAATTAATAAAATATTGGTGATGTTTTTGATGAGGAATCAAAGTCTTACTCTTATGATAAATATAGGTAAATTGGTATTTATTTCTAACCTACCTATTAAATGAACAGGAGGAGGAGCATGCTGCCATTCCATTTTAGGTGCTCCTTCAAAACCCTTCTGAAGATCATATGTTCTTATATCAGCAATCTCTATTTTCATATCAGTAACATCCTTACTGCACTCCTGTAATAACTCTAAAGTTGGAAGAAATCTTGGATCTTTTTCAACTACAATAAGTTTTCTGGGGTTCCTTTTGAGGATTGATCTGGTAATACCTCCAGGTCCAGGTCCAATTTCACAAACATAGTGATTTGTTAAAGGGCCAGCAGCCCGTATGATTTTATCAGTGATTCTACAACAGAAATAAGATACACTTAGAACTATGATGCAGAAATGTATTTCTGAAAATATTAATTTGTTTCTGACAAGCACTTTTTATTCAATTGAATATAACCACTTTACAATTTACGAAATATGTTCATAAATTAAAAGGAATTCCTTTGCATTTGCATTTTATGAAATTTTGAAGGCGAAAGCCACTTTTTAATTGTTCAAATTGTGATCTTGGTTGTAAAATAAATGAAAACATTTGTCCCATGATGAGCCAACCTGAGGCTAGACTATATATAACATAGAAACATAACTAACTGTAATATACTACGATAATCTACTACTAAACTAAGTCATTTAAGTGTATATTACATACAATTACAAGTCCATAAGGTGTCATTATATACTTTATAGAACATTCAAAACTTATATACACATTCAGTTTTAGAAGTTTGGCTAATAATTATTACCTTTCATCCATTAAAAAATTCTGTGATAATTGTCTAAGAGCTCGAAGACGATATAACTTAACTAAATCTCTAATAGTAGGTAAAGGGGGCAAACGAATATGTTGTACATTTGCAGCCATTATTGAGTAGTTTTAGCCGGTTCATCAAAGTCGTCTAGAAAACTCTCTTGTCTCACAGCATACATGGAATACCCATATATACTGATAATACCAGCCGTTAACAACCCAGCAGTAAGCAAATTGGTCCTTCTAAGCTTTTTTAATTTCAGCACTCTCTCTTGATTTTGTTTTTCTATTTGCTTTATGAAGTCTAAATCCGTCTTTTTGATTTTGCTTAAATCAATTTTTGGCATGCGATCAGACATAGTTTGTTGTCGTTATTTTTTTATTGTATTGTGTTTACATAAGAATGATTGAGAATGATAGATCTAATTTTTGCAGCCTCTAACTAACATAACCTCAACTGTTTGCTGTTATATTCTTCTTCTTCTTCCTTTATTGATTGTTTGTTATTATTTTTGTTTTCCTTGGTCTTTGATAAATAGATTTAAGCAAATCACTTGTTAAAATAAAAAGTTCACATCGTAAATGCACTAAAATGAGCAAAATAAATTTAGAAAAGACACATTGCTAGTGTTAAACTCATTTCTAACACAGAATCAGCGCTAGTTTTTTTATTATACCCTCTGATTTAATTTTAACTTTTTTAGTAGGAAATTGTGTTAAGTCAAAATCACAGAACAATAAACAATTATTATTCTGTGCTATCGTCGTCATCTCACATAATGTTCTGTGTCAAAATATGTATTTTTTTGACATTTGCGGCTATCTTCGGCTTGTACTTTCGTTTAAAAGCGTCTATATTCTTTGGTTAAACTCAACCTACTATTAATTTAAATAAACATTTATTATAGCTGGATTGGATATATTATAGCTGGATTGAAATATTTCTACTAATTCGTAGTTATGAAATTTAGAGAAGACTCCAAAGTTGGTATTTCATTCGAGTTTATAAAGTTAAAACCCACTTAGAAAAAGGGAATAGTTCGAGAGGTTCTAAACAAGAGAAGAGCTGTCACTGCATGTGAAAAGTGTGAGTAATCTTGGAGAATCTAATTCGTCTCGAAATATGTGTTGCCTATATTCCATTTGTCCTAATGTACACAGGATAGGTAGATTGTTAAATTATTCGTCTCGAAATATGTGTTGCCTATATTCCATTTGTCATAATGTACACACACGATAGGTAGTTGCTAAATCTGAAATATTGTGTACAGTACAACTGCTCAAAACTTTTATTCGTAACAACTTTTGTTTCTTCTATATATTTTTCTGCTTGGTTGGTCGATGGACTGCGAGGACAATTAAAAGAGTCTAAAACTTCAAATATAGAAGACGAAACATCAAAATCAAATGTCATTGTCACGTCAGCGGGAACGACATCCGTTGTCATTTAAAGTTTATTTTAAGGGTAAGGGTATAACATAAAAAAAATTAATATAGTTTTATACTATGGCAGATGATGATTTATCATTTAAATCACACGATAATAAGGACGATGAAGAAGATAATTCTGATTCAGAAGCAACATCACATCTTGAGCTAGATTTAGGCGTTGACTCTTCATTTAATGTTAGAGAATTCAATAGGTTAGGGAATCATAAAGCAGGAGTCTCGGGAGGTGAGTATTTTTGTGTTACTGTACATTATAATCATTTGCATTTTCGACCATATTTCCTATTTATATAATTATAAAACACTATAAAAAAAACTACTTTTAAAAGTTGACCTGTTTTAAGCAATTTTTAAATATTAATTTATGAAAACGATAGTGACCCTCAAAGTTCAGCATAGTACTACAATTTTGGACATACTTTATGTCCTAAAATAGTTTCACAATTTTTATCCATAAATTTACACCAGAGATGCCTTTTTTTTAATTTACCTGACCATGATCATTACCTCTCAGCCAATTTTGTCTACAGAATTATTTTATCACTGTTTAATTTTTTTATTCTGCAGTAGTTCTCGGAAGTTTTTAAGACTTATTGTGGTTTGTCTAGTTCAGCTTGTTTGTCTAGACGTAGCTCTCTTAATTTTTTAAATGTTTTCCAAGTTGAAATTGAAGCATCAATAAACTTATTTTAAACTTTAATTATAGTTATTCCCATTAAAATAGTAATTACTTTATTCTGTTGCATTGAAAATAATTTATTTAAATTATTACTGTTTTCGTTTAATCCTAAATGCCAGAATCAAAAGCCTTTGTAGTTTTTTTATTGATCGTAGCTAGTTTGCTTCATTAATTACTATATTGTGGCATTAAACGCTCTACTGTCACCATTTATTAGGCTGCTTGAAGTTGAAATATTGAGTTTATTCTTATGCAATGTCAAATACATAGCCACCACATACAGTATTGTGCAAATCAATTTGAACAAACAGAATTCATTTGTAAATATGATTTATTTAGGCCAAAGGTAAATTTAGGTACACTTACATGAGATTTTATCATTAATTCGTATTTAATATGTCCCCTTTTTACTTTTATGACTTCCTGGAGTCTTCTAGGCATGGAATCCACAAGTTTTTTGCATGTTTGTGATTGCTTCTTCTCTAAAACACACCTTAATCACTGCTTCCACCAATTTTGTTTTTGTCGTACAGTGAAATTTTTGCAGTTTAACCCCATATATAGCCCAAAAATTTTCAATAGGATTAAGGTCAGGTGAATTCCCAGGCCAATTAAGAAGGGTAATATTATTATCCTTGAAGTATTTCCTCATAACCTTCGACATGGCAAGGAGCTGAATCTTGTTGAAAAATTACAGTCCCTTCTGCCTATGCTTTGTCAAGCTCTATAGCTAAGTGTTGCCCTATCATGACTTTCTACTTTTCACTGTTCATCATACCTTCAATAGGAATAAGGGTGCCAGTTCCTGAGTATGAAAAACAGCCCCAGAATTTTTTTTGGTGAGATGTTTAACTGTTTGGTTAATATGGCTAGCTGAAAGTGACTCATTGGCTGTCTTTCGTACAAGTTTTTATTGCTGACCCTGCACTAGGAAGTGGGTCTCATCAGAAAATAGTACTTTTTTCCAATCTTCTGCACTCCAATGAGTATATTTTTTTGTCCAACTTAGTCTTTTCTTTATCATATACGCTGTCAGAAGTTGTTTCTTCTGCGGTCTCACGGCTCTTTTCCCTCCTTCTAAGCGATGCCTGCATACCATGAGTAGTGAATTTTGTTCCAGCCTTTTTTAAATTCTGCTGGATGTCATAACTTGTTTTTCTGGGATGAAGTTTGCTATCGCATAAAGAAAAGGCTTCATCTTGAGGAGTAGTTTTCCGTTTTCTTCCACATTTTCCTTTTCGCTACACTTTAACTGACCCTGTTTTCTTTTTTTTTTTGTTTAATTATTTTGTTTACTGCACCCAAACTTACACAACACTCCTTTGCAATGTCCCTCTGAGTTATTGGTGTATGCTCATTAAGTGTTATGATCCTTTCTCTTTTCTTAGGAGTGATATCAATATTAAAAAGTTAAACCTGATTGCACAGTTAAATCAATGAAAATAACACCAACTTGCACATAACCTGAGATACAACAAAATATAATAATGATATAAAACACAAAGCATGTCTTTTGAACAATATACTAATAAGGTTTTGAGGTTATGTTGTTTTTTTGACAAAACAGTTCACAGAAGATGTGCCAACTTGATGAAAACTGAATTTCGATCACTGTTCACATTAATTCGCACAATACTGTACATAGCCATAACGTCAAACACCTACTTACTTTGAAGAGCCAAAACCGGCACCAAAGAATATAGACGCTTAGCGTCTATATTCTATAAGCGTCTATATTCTTTGCCGGCACTATACAATGGGTTTGAAGACGAGACAGAAGAACTATCTCAGGATTATAATTTTTGATGTATCTTCTTTGTATCATTTACTGACATCTTTAATGGTTTTCAATTATATTTTATTAATAATAGAGTTAATAATTATCAAATGTTTCTGGGACATTGGTTTTTCATTTTTGAAGTCTCTCTTAATTAATACTCTCATTGGTATGAGCTTTTTAGATAATTAATTGATTAGCATGTATTATTTTTCAAGATTAGAATTAATTAACAAGAAATATCTCTGATTTAAGGCTTATTTGTTTTTTTAATAATGTACTGATGTATGCATTTCAGTTATGATCTTTTTGTGTATTTTATGTATATATATTTATCGTGTCATATAGAGTAAACTAATTGCATTTATTTTGTATATATTTATGTATATAAGTAGTTACAAGTTATTAGATATTTTATCTATACAGGCATTTTTTATAAAAATTTATTAAGTAAACAGTTAAATTAATGAGTAAAAATTTTTGAAACAACACGCGTATTGCCCTGATTTCTCAGTCTCTCTGACTTCTAGTCTAGTGTCCTATTTCTAGATTATTAATATAAAACTTATAGTGACGATTTAAACAATTTATATTACCGAGATTTATTTATTACTAACCTGTTGGTCAATAAGTCCCGGGCCTAATTAGTAAAATAACATTTTTTTGCAAAAATGATTCTTTATTCATCAAAATAATCTCATTTAGCAGCGCTGATACAATCATTCCAACGCGTTTCTAATTTTTTTGATGCCCTCCCATTAAAATGATTTTTGCCTTCAAAATATGATGACTTTTCAGCGAATACTTCCACATCGGAGCAATATGTCTTGTCATAAAACATTTTTGTAGATTAGAAAAAAGGTGGTAATCGCTGGGAGTCAGATCTAGACTACACGGAGGGTCCGGAAATAATCAAAGCCCAATTTGTGCATTTTTGTCATCTGTTTTATCCACTTGTAGACACTATGACTTATCTTGGTTAAACAACAATTTTTCTTGAACAAGTGAGGCCTTTTCTTTACAAACAGTTAGTAAGAGTACACTCTCCAATAAACCAATATAGTACTTGCTGTGCAATTCATCAAATATGTTTATCAAATGATTCATCAGATTATATGTTATTTAAATTGTTTATTCCAGATAATCTTTTTGCTTTAACATAAGATAATTATATGGTCAATTTATGAAGTAGTAATTATACTATCGCAATAAATAAAAAAAATATTTTTAATGTTATAAAATTGCATTTTGTAAAATATCCAGTGCCACTGGTTGCTGCTGTGCCATGAAGGATCATCTGTGCTCATCATTCTCCAATTTTTTATGGCATATGTGTCTTAAGAACACTTTGATTGTGTTTTATTTAACAGTGATATTAAAATGAGTGAAATCATCATCATCATCATCATAAGGGCTTTCATTTCGGGTGGAATGTTTGCTGTTCTTACTTAGAGTTCTCTGATTCGCTTATTGCAGTGAATCACTCTGCATTCCACTTGTATGTTGTCAAAGTCTGTTATATGACTTGGCTTTCGTTACAATTTTCTTCCACTCATTTGGATATGTGCATAGTTCACACCAGTTTTTCACTTCCAGAATTTGGATATCTCTAATGACATGGTCCCCCATCTCTCTCTGGGTCTTACCCTTGGTGTTTCAGTTGCTGGTTTCCATCTGGTGATCTTCTTAATCAGTAGGTCGTTTTTCCTTCTCTCTATGTGTCCCAGCCATCATTATGTCTCTTAGTTCATGGTTCATTCTTCTTATTATTTCTCCGTTGTCCATTCTTATCGGGCCCATAATCTGTCTGAGGATTTTCCTTTCGAAAAATTCATTTTTCTTCATCTTTTTCCTGAGGCACATTGTCTCAGCTGCGTATGTAACTACTTGTCTGATTGGAATTCTGTATATTTTCGGTTTTGTATTTCTGGATAAGTTATTGTCCTTCATGAAGTGAAAATGAGTGAAGTAATTCACGAAATTGCAGAAAATAATAATTATTATGGCAGTTTTATCTTATTAAGTTGGTGGTTTTTATGTGCAAACTATGCATTGGGATTATGTAATATATTAAAATTTCTGTTAAATATATTTCTGCAATGTGATGCAGTTTGATGTTTTTTCTTTCACCTCTTTTGAAGCTTTTTTTCCAATTTTCATAGTTGCATATGAAGAATATTGATCTCCAAGGGTATTAAGAATATCTTAGTAAATATGTTCCCACCTTCTAATACCTTCCAATACAAGTTTGAGTAACTTTGAGTTACTTCTCAATGAGAAGTACATTGATGTTTTAATGGCACTCTTGAGCCAAATTTATAGTTCAGGCATATTACCCAAAGAGTGGTTAATGTTGATTTTTATTTGTCTCCCCAAAAAGAAAAACGCAAGAGAATGCAGCGATTACAGCACCATTAACTTGATGTCTCATGTGCTAAAGTTACTACTAAAAGTCATCCATAACCGAATATATCACGAACTGGATATAGACGTTAATAACACATAATTTGGTTTTCGCAAAGGCCTAGGAGCGCATGAAGCTCTTTTTTCACATAATATACTAATACAAACATGCCTGAACGTCAATCAAGATATATACGCATGTTTTATTGACTATAATAAAGCATTCGATAAAGTACGACATAAACAATAATTAATGAATGTCCTGAAATTAAAGAAGATTAACTACAACGACCTCAGGATTATAGCAAAGTTATACTATAATCAGGAAGCAAACGTATGTGTTAACGAACAGCTGCCAGAAGAAATTGAAATTAGACGTGGAGTAAGACAGGGATGCGTATTGTCGCCAATTCTTTTTAATGCCTACTCTGAAGAGATCCTGAAAAAAGATCTTGAGGGAGAAACAGCTGGAATAAAGGAAAATGATTGAAAATCAGAACAATGATTTACTCCAAAAATGATTATATGGAGATCAAAATCAGAATAGAAAAGGCTAGAGAAAATTTCAACAAAATGAAAAGAGTGTTATGTACTAGGGATTTAAAATTGGAACTAAGAGTTAGGTTGGCGAGGTGCTATTTTTTTTTCGACTTTATTTTATGGAATGGAATCTTGGACCTTGAATGAGACATAAATGAAAAAACTGGAATCATTACCTGGGAGACTGGCACGGATGTACCGGGTGGTCCAATAAGCCGATCTCTCGGCTATATATCAGAAACTATTCATGTTATAACTTTAGGAAAAAAAATTCCTTAGTAAAAGTGGCCAAGAGAAATCGCTGGAAATAACTTTCAAGATTCTGGATTAACCGCTAGGGGCGTAACCTGCGAAGAAAATTTTGAAAACCAGTTTTTTGGGAAATATGTCCAATTATACCAAGTGTTAAATAAGTAAACTAGAAAGGGGCATAAATTCTGCACAAAATTGTTCAAGTACTTTTTTTTATTTTTTCAAATAAAGGGTGGGGGAGAGTGGGAAAGTATTTGTGGATAAATACCTATAACTTTGGTTTGGATCAACCGATTTTAACAAAATTAGTGTCATTAGAAAGAGTATGGATGAATTAATTTACATCTACTATAAAATAATTGCATTTAGTTTTAATTGCCGTAGGTAGAGGGTACTTTCGAATAGAAAAAATTAAAATTTGTTTTTTTTTTCAAAATTTTTAATGGAAACACCTATTTATTGTAAATTATAATAGAACTGGATTAAATTCGTAACAAAATGGCGCAAACTGCATGTTAATAGCTTTTATCGAACTCGAGATATGAACAAAAACGCATAAACATAAGTAAGTATAGTATTGACACACCCTGTATTATAAAATAAATTAAAAAATAAGTCAGTAGGTACTTTCAAAAATTTTTATAGTAGAAAACTCTTAATGTTGATACCTATTTTGACCATTGTTATTTCATATGATTAAAAATTGTTTTTTCGAAACTAAGTAGGCTACCACAATGAATTTGACAGGGAGTTCATATTGTTTATTTATTGACAGCAGTCAAAATATTGTTAAGAAGTGTTATATGTATTATAATTCGAATTGAAAATTGCATTTTTTTCAATGGATATTAATATTGGTAATATTAGTAATTAATTATCAGTACTAATAATTCGTGATGAGTATATCAAATTGTATATGATTGGAGTTTATTTCGAATATCACCAAAATGGCGCTATTGCCTCACGTATATATTCTGTAAGATATCCTGGCAGGAGATATTGTGGCAAAGAAGTAGAGATTTCGGATTACTCATATGTGGATTCTGTTGAATTAAAGCAAGAACATTGATTGAATTATCTTCGGTCATAACTCTACTACGTCGTTTAAAACAAGGACGAGAAAAACTACCAGTTTCTCTTAATCTTTTTGCCTTTCTTTCAAACACTTCTTTGCCATAATGTCTCCTGACACGATATCTTACAAAATATATACGTGAGGCAATAGCGGCATTTTGGTGACATTCGAAATAAACTCCAATCGTATCATACAATTTGATATACTCATCACGAATTATTTGTACTGATAATTAATTACTAATATTACCAATATTAATATCTATTGAAAAAAGTGCAATCTTTAATTCGAATTATAATATAGCACTTCTTAACAACGTTTTGACTGCTGTCAATAAATAAACAATATGAACTCCCCGTCAAATTTATTGTCGTAGCCTACTTAGTTTCGAGAAAACTATTTTTTACAAAATAGGTATCAACATTAAGATTCTTCTGCTATAAAACAATTTGAAAATACCTACTGACTTATTTTTTAATGTAATTTATAATACAGGGTGTGTCAATACTATACTTATGTTTATGAGTTTTTATTCATATCTCGAGTTCAACAAAAGCTATTAACATGCGGTTTGCTCCATTTTGTTACGAATTTATTCCAGTTCCATTATAATTTATAATAAATAGGTGTTTCCATTAAAAATTTTGAAGAAAAACAAATTTTAATTTTTTTTATTTGAAAGTCCCCTCTACCTACGACTATGAAACCAAAGTTATAGGTATTTATCCACAAATACTTTCCCACTCTCCCCCACCCTTTATTTGAAAAAATAAAAAAAAAGTACTTGAACAATTTTGTGCAGAATTTATTCCTCTTTCTAGATTACTTATTTAACACTTGGTATAATTGGACATATTTCCCAAAAAACTGGTTTTTAAAATTTTCTTCGCAGGTTACGCCCCCTAGCGGTTAATCCAGAATCTTGAAAGTTATTTCCAGCGATTTCTCGTGGCCACTTTTACCAAGGAATTTTTTTTCCTAAAGTTATAACATGAATAGTTTCTGATATATAGCCGAGAGATCGGCTTATTGGACCACCCGGTACATCAAATGAACTTGTCAGAGCAGCTGTCTCAAAAGTTCGAATAGCTATGATGATTGCCGACCTCCGTCGCGGAGATGGCGCTTGAAGAAGAAGAAGAAAAAGGTGTTACTTTTATGTGAAACTTTACACTGATCCTTCTAATAAATTATAGTTTATTGTTGTGGTTACTAGATTTTATCTGTGGAACCAAATAGATATATTTATATTTGATAAAATATTTTATTAACATATTAAAAATACAGACAGACTGTAAGATATCTCTGTGTGGTCTACCTGGCACCCGTGGAAATTCCAATATCAGTTAAATATATTCACACAATTTCTGTTAATGCAGAATACCATATGTTTTTTCATTAAAATTTATGTACATTTTTAGATATAACTGTTATTAAAACTACGTTTTAAAATACAAATGTATATATGGCCATCTGTTGACATACATTTTAATGCTAATAATTCTCACTGATATTATAATTTTTACAGTTTCTACTTTGTTCGTTTTTTTTATATGACATAATATCAGTGGTGGCTCTAGAATTAAAATAATATGACTGTCTCTACAAAATAAAATTCATGAAAAAAGCACTCAATAAAACTATTAAAATTAAACAATAATCATTTTACGCGTCATCGGTATAACAAGAAATGGAAGATTAAACAGTTGGTATGCCTGTATTGGAATTAACTGAAGTGAGCAAACGGAAGGTAGAAAAACAAGCTTAACCCTTATTTGGCGTTGAAGGCCTATGTTTAATTAAGACTTAATTGGATATTTACATTTTCTTTTACTCTGTGCCATAACTTGCTAATTTCTAATATTTAACCTCCCTAAAGCTTCCTCGACAGCTGTCAGCCATTGACTTTTATATAATAATATAAATATAAACAGTTGAAAATAGTTTCAAACTATTTGTCGGGTTTATTAGGAATATACATTTTAAAACTGCGCCTTCCTCGAAATGCACCAGTCCTTCTGACCGGTGCAAGTTGATTTAGCGCTTTTCTTTCTTTAGTATTAGTATCATCGAACCTTAGACATTGTAACCATTGTAACAGGAAATATCTCTGCTCCCAATCCATCAGTACCATACAACTTCAACAAATAATTTTTATGACCACCATCTTGAGATCCAGCCAAATATAGTAAAGCCAATAATTCTTTTATTTCACACTCATCAGTGTCTTTGGTGTCATATTTATTAGCATACGTGTGTGAGTTAGCTCTAATGAATATGTTAGTATTTTCTATGTTGATGGGAAGAATATAAAAAAAACAGCGTAAAACATTCAACAGGTGTAGAAACATTTCTACACATTCCTGTAACTCCTAGCAAATATGTAATTATATTCCTTACCGAATACGATCATTTAGGGGTGAAACTTCTTTTCTCCATTTCGTCCCATCCTTACCATAATAATAAGCTGATCTACTTTCTTCTGAAACAGATTCTTTTTCTGATTTTTCGTCTGTAGTTTCTTGTTCTGTATCTGTGGCATGATGCTTGTGTTGTTTCTTGATTTTTGGTAAATCCAAATAAATATCACCACAAACTTTACACAATACACACCAGCTAATAAATTTGGAATGAATCATTGTCGTCCGTTTATGTAAAAGATGAAAGTAAAGTACTTGATTCAAAAATTCGGGATTTCACCAAGGGGTATTTACATCCGAGGAGTCCCTGAAGTTCGGATAGTATCGGGAAGAACTTATTTTTCTAAGGAACTGAAATTTGAAAAACTCTCTAATATCTGCTTGATAATAGTAATCTAACTATGTTAACTTAAAACGCAAAAAAATCCAATAATACTACAACAATGACAAATCTACAACTTAATCAAACAAGATATTAATCGACATTAATATTTTTAATATTTTTTAGTTCCCGGTTCCACCAATAGTTGTGATAGTCATAGGCGGGAAGACAATCCATTTTCTTTTAAACATTTTCTTAGGAGTGACTCAACTAATAGTTACCAATCAAAAGGTGCTAGACCTAAAGTTTACGAAAATCGATCAGCATCTACCGATTTTGGAAATCACCTTCAACCTCGGTTAATTCCAGAGTATCCTGCTGCATTACCAGATTTTGTCCAGGATCATCTAGTCGTCGAACAGGTAAATATATTTGATCTATATCTATCACTGTAGAAATCACATGTTGCACTGTCAGTAAACCTATTAAGCGATATGACACATTGCATGTATGTGTTATAGTTGGATATTAAAATAACTATTGAACTCAAAACTGTATTGTTTTTAATCATAACTTAACATAAACATTTTCGTATTTGACCAATGGAGTATCTTTTAGTTACAGTAAAAAATTGATTATCTTTTATTTTCAGTGTTATTTAGGAAATACATCATCCGAAAGTTTCAATGTGGACATTGATAATTTGCCCGATTTTACGCCTGCGCGACAGAGTAGGAATAATGCTCTTAATCCAGAGGTTACTAATTCTAATAGACCCGTTCCGTTGGACTTACCTATGCGAACTCAAGAATCATTTCCCTTGGACTTGCCTGTAGTCAATACCCACTCAAATAATATTAGGATTGAATCATCAAATAGTGAGGTAAGTAATACAGAGCCATCGAGAAACAGTAATTAGGTCATTCCAAATATCTTTTTCTAAGCTTTTACTGAAATTTTTACCTATTTCCCTACTTAGTGACTTTAAATCATAAATATTTTGAGTGAAAATTTCATTCACATTGTAGGAAATCCCAGTTTTTTTTTTCTGATTTGAGTATACTTGTCCATTGTGCAGGGACATAAATTGGACAACTTTTAATAACACGCTTTTTATCTTTTTCTATGGTGGCATCCATTCTGAAAGATAATCCTTCTTTTTAATACTGTAATAAGTCAAGTTGTTACACTATTGAACTAAAATATTTATAAATTTGGAGTTGTTACATAAATTCATTACGCCCTCTACAAACTAACAGATGAATTTCGACTTATTTCAGTATTGAAATTTGTAGAGATATGTATTACGAATTCCATGATAAGCATATTATATATATATATATATATATATATATATATATATATAATATATATATATATATATATATATATATATAGATCGCCTAAAAGTAAAAGCATTGGACGAATATTTTCTCGGAAGTAAGTAAACCAGCAATTTTAGGTGGAGACTTCAACGCTCATCATACAATCTGGAGATCGAATTTTAATGACGTAGTCGTAGACGTAGGAAAACAACTTATAACAGCTGCAGATGATTTGCGTTATATAGTAACGAATAATATAGTAACTGCCAACCAACTGTTCTTACTCGACCTGATCAAAATATTTCAGCCATCGATGTAACTTTCGCCTCGCCTGAACTAACTAGTAAAATAATCTGGTCCGTCTATCCAGACACTTGAGGCTCAAACCATCATAAATACTTCTTCTTCTTCTTAAAGTGCCCTCTCCTCAATGGAGGTTGGCTACTACAATTTTAAACTCTTCTCTATCTTCAGCTGTTCTTATTAGCTGTTCAAAATTTAGCCCTGTCCATTGTCGGATGTTTCTGAGCCATGATAGTCTTTTCCTTCCTAGGCCTCTCTTTCCCTCGATTTTTCCTTTCACTATAAGTTGGGCATATTGGTACTTATTATTTCTCAGTATGTGGCCTAGGTATGATGTTTTTCTTACTTTTACTGTGTTAAAAAGTTCTCTTTCCTTGCCTATTCTATGCAGCACTTCTTCGTTTGAGGTATGCGATGTCCATGAAATTTTGAGTATTCTCCGGTAGATCCACATTTCAAAGGCCTCCAATTTATTTACGGTTGATGTTTTAAGGGTCCACGTTTCAACTGCATATAGAAGAGTCGACCAGACGTAGCATTTTGATAAACGTAGTCGAATTTCGAGTTTTATTCGAGAATCACAAAGCAGTTTTTTTATTTTTTCGAAAGATTTTCTAGCCTGTTCTATTCTCGATCTTATTTCTTGATCAGGATTTAGGCTGCTATCGATCCAACATCCCAGGTACTTAAATCTATTGACCTGTTCTAAGATGTGCCCATTTATTGTGCAAGGTTGAGGTACGTTTTGGTTTTTTCGGATTGACATCACTTTGGTTTTTTTAATGTTTATTTTCATACCAAATTGCTCACAGGTCGAGTTGGTCTTGTCGATGAGTCGTTGTAGACCTGAGTCGGAATCCGCAATTAACACTGTATCATCGGCGTATCTGATACTGTTGATATTTACGCCATTCACCTTGACTCCATCCTTGGAATCCTCCAATGCTTCTTTAAATAGAAACTCGGAGTAAAGATTAAACAGCAGAGGCGACAGAACACATCCCTGTCTAACTCCCCTCCTAATTTCTACTTCTGCGGATGTGGAACCTTCGATCCTAACTCTGGCTTTTTGGTTCCAGTACAAGTTTTTTAAGAATTTGATGTCTTTTCCATCTAAACCGACTTCTTGCAAACGTTCTAATAGTAGGTCGTGTCTTACTCTATCAAATGCTTTTTCGAAGTCTATAAAGCATATAAATATATCTTTCTGTTGGTCGTAGCATTTTTGGGCGAGAACTAGTAAACTGAACAGGGCTTCTCTCGTTCCCATGCCGGCTCTGAATCCAAACTGATCGTCTCCGATGATTGTTTCGCACTTTCTATAGATACGATTATGTACGATTTTTAGTAGGACTTTTACTGCATGACTCATAAGGCTTATCAGACGGAACTCATTGCAGTGTTGTGGGTTTGGCTTTTTTGGTAGTGGGATGAATATTGACTCCAGCCAATCTTGGGGTATTTTACCTGTATCATAAATGCGATTGAATAAAAGGACAAATAATTCGATATTTTCTTCGCTGATTAATTTGAACGTTTCTGGGTATATTCCGTCTGGACCTGGGCTTTTATTTGTTTTGAGATGATTAATTGCATTTATGATTTCAGATTTCAGAATTGTTGGCCCTTCGTTGTTATTTTCCAATCTTGGTTCTTCTCGTATGTCGTGAAAAAGAATTTTAATATAGTTTTCCCATTCTTTCAGTTTATCTTCCGTTGATTCTAGCAGTTTGTCATCCGTGTTCAGCATGGTGTGAAAAGTCGTTCTCTTGGTAGTCGATGTAAACTCTTTTACCTTTTTATGTAAATTAAAAAAATCGTGCCTTTGTTGCAGTTCTTCTATTTCAACGCATTTTGTTTCCAGCCATTTCTCTTTTGCTTCGGTTATTTTTTTTCGAATTATTCTATTTAGTCTTTTGTATTCTCCGTCCTTGTCATTTTTTCCTTTAGATTCTCTTCGTTTGTTCATTAATTGTAAAATCTCTTCTGTCATCCATTCCTGTTTGTTATTTCTAGGTGTTACTTTTAGATGTTTTTCCGTTACATTGTTCATTTGTTCTTTAATAGTTTTCCACAGAACGTTTATGTCATCGTACTCGCTAATTCTATTGTGGTCGATATTTCCTAAATTTTTGTTTAATTCTTTATTTACTGTCTGATGTATGGTGTCGTTTTTCAATATTTGGATGTCTAATAGTTGGTGTTGAGGTTTTTGTTTCTTTATTAGTTTCCATCTTGCGCGAACTTTTGCAACAACAGGATTATGATCGGAATTGATGTCAGTTCCAGGATATGTTTTTGCACTGATGATTGCATTGTGATATCTTTTGTTGACCAATATGTAATCTATTTGGTTACGGATTACTCTGTTTTCATTGTGTTGTGGTGAAGTCCAAGTGTACAATCTGCGAGGGTGTAATTTAAACCATGTATTTGTCACTACCATGTTGTGTTGTTGGCAGAATTCGGTCATTCTCTCTCCCCTGTCGTTCCTTGCTCCAAGTCCGAAGTTTCCGATCAATCCAGAAACTTTTCCTCTACCTAACTTAGCATTAAAGTCACCTAAGATAAATGTTAGGTCTCGTTTTTTGGTCATCTTTATTAGTTTTTCTACGTCAGCATACCACGCTTCTAGCTCTTCTATGGGTTTATCGGCCGTAGGGGCATAAGTTTGAATGATGTTAATATTTACTGGCTTTCCGGATAGTTGAATAAGAAGACATCGGTCCGAAAATGGCACAAAGTTTGTGACGGCATGGTTATATTTGTCTTCTAAAATTACTCCAACCCCGTTACGATGAACCGGATCGTTATTACCCGAGTAATAGAAAGTTTTGTTCATGGTTTTAACTTTACCTGAACCTGGCCATTTAACTTCACTCAAACCCAATATCTGCAACCCTAAACGTTTCATTTCGTGGCATGCATTTGCTAGTTTTCCTGTTTCGAACAGACTTCTAACGTTCCATGTTGCAATCTTAAAGTTTGTATTTAAAATATTTAGGCTATTCCTCCCGGGGATTCTTCGCACCCCTTGATCATCTAAGATCTGCCGGGGACTAGGGGCCAATTCTGTTTGTGCTTTCATTGTAGTTTTCTTGGGAAATATATACCAGAGTGGTTTCCCGTTGCCTTCTCTGGTTTGTATTTTAGCCGATCCTCTGGACACAGACGCTATTTGCAGCCGCCCACTCTGGGTCAGACGCTGCGTGCTAGTTTGATCCCTACCACTTACCAGCTCATCCGCCCGAAGCCGTTGGACAGCAAGTGGGAAATCGCTTATACCGGCAATTGCTCGGTAAAAATTTTCGCCATATCTGGCTACCCTCACTTAGTTTAGCCTGCAGACCAATGCAGTTGCCCGGGGTGTGGCACGTGGAGCCATAAGTGAGAGTTAGTTGTCTTATGAGGACCAGTTGTCAAGAACCATCTCCCGTCTATGACGTTCGATGTGGTCGTTCCGATAAAAGGTGCTACCTCTATAACACAACTCTACACCCCTCTATAACTACTTAATAGAATTTATTTTGAAAAGTAACCTCAATTTGTAAGCCCAGTTAAAATAGTAACCTTTGTTTTATGCCATTTGTTTTAAACCTACTATCCGTGAGCCGGTCTAGTTTGTGTTTTTTAATGTCTTGATGGGTCTCTAGACAAGAAGCGAGTTACCATGTTTGTTCCTTTACTGATAACCAAATATGCATTGTGATAATTATTTTTTTTCTTTCCCTTGGGAAGAACTTAAAAAAGTTGTGACTGGCTGAATGGCAAATGCCTATGTCAAAAAAAAATCCATGATTGCAATAACTAAAATTTGAATTTCTTTGACTTGTTACGCTATTGAACTGAGGTATCGATATTTCAGACACAATCGCACATCTTGTAGATTTTTTTCCAATGTCTTTCTGTTTATTGTCAATGCATTTAAAATTATGTTTTTGTCATGTCTCCGGTCTACCTTTGAAAGCGTTACCGTCATTTTTTAGCCTTTTGGATATATATATTATGATATTAATATGCTAATTGCTAATAAAGTATTTTTGCAGGTCGGGAGTTCGAAAAGTCTTCCTGATTTCCTAGCTGATGGTGCTGCTTGCACGCAACAAAGCGAAACCTTGACGGTTCCACAAAGTCCAGAGGGAGAGCTTGAAAGACTGAAGAAAGAATTAGACATCACGAAGAGGCAATTAGCGGAAAAGAATTTAATGTGTGATAATTTAAGTAGGGATTTAGAAATTGCTAGGAATAAAGAACATGAATATACTCACAATCTTGCCGGGGCGCTTGAAAAAGTAGAGGATAATTTAGAAAAGAGCAATGTAAGTAGTTTGAACAATGCTTTTTATTAATCTCTTGTGGAATAATATTGTGTATCTAGATTTTTATTTTTCTAAAATTTATTAGTATAAAGTTGTTGTTTCTTATACAACAACTTATAGTTGTGTCATAAAGTTGAACAAAGTATCTTATACTTAGTTTAGAGCTTTTGGCGATATTATATATACGAGGAATACATTAAAATTTTGTATAGAACAATTTAGAAGAAGTTCTTGATTTTGATTTGGAGGTAAAATGGGAGGATTTGGGGAGCATCTGTCATGGTTATCTCTACCCAGAAAATAGTCTGTGACAATATCATATGAACGCAGAAGATGTACGTTAGAAATTTATAATAAAAATGTGAAGCAAGTCATTTGCTTCACATATCTCCTCACTTATATTACAAGCAATAGAAATATAAAATAATAACTACAAATACAAGCCACAAAAGTGCCTCAAATGTAATATATCAAAACAAATATATGAGCATCGAAAGCAAAACATGAATTTACAGAATCTGTAAAACCTATTATGACGTAAGCCAGGGAAACGCGAGCAAATACAACTACTAATGAACAAATACTAAGAACCATAGAAGTGAAAGCAATGCTGATCAATTACTGCCAAAACACTTTTATATAGATGGAGGAGCAGC